GCAACGACGTCCTTCAGGATCACTGGGTTGATCCCTTTACTCCTGGAGGACAGCGTGTGGCGATTTGCACGTGCTCCCGTACCGGCTGTCACCTGGCCACGTTCACACGTGCGCCTGGGTCCAGTCTGTACACCCTCACCACTGCGTCGCGCTACACCCCTTTGTCTCCCCAGCTGTACGCGTCTGCTCAGGTAGCTACCCAGTGTGAGTGTCGCCGACTGTCGCACGACACTCTCCTGTGGCACTACCGCCTTGGTCACCCCTCCCTGCCTCGCCTCCGTAGCATGCACTCTCGCTACCTGGTCTCTGGCCTTCCCGAGTCTCTGCCTGCCCTCCCTCCCTCGCCTGCGCCGCCCTGCATTCCTTGCGTCGAGGGGTGGCAGCGCGCCGCTCCTCACTCCTCCTCGTTCCCTCCCACAGAGGCTCCACTGCAGACTCTCCACCTGGACGTGTGGGGCCCAGCCCGCGTCCGTGGACAGGGCCACGAGCGGTACTTCCTGCTGGTCGTCGACGACTACATGCGTTACACCACGGTCTTCCCCTTGCGCAGCAAGGGGGAGGTCCCTGATGTTTTGATCCCCTGGATCCGCGCTGTTCGTCTCCAGCTCCGCGAGCGGTTCCAGTCGGACTTTCCTGTCCTGCGTCTGCACTCTGACAGAGGTGGTGAGTTCTCCTCAGACCTCTTGGCAGCCTTCTGTGCGGAGCACGGCATCCGCCAGACGTTCACGCTTCCGGCCTCTCCGCAGCAGAATGGGGTTGCTGAGCGCCGCATTGGCTTAGTCATGGAGGTCGCTCGTACCTCCATGATCCATGCGGCTGCCCCCCATTTTTTGTGGCCGTTTGCGGTCCGGTACGCCGCGCATCAGCTCAACCTCTGGCCCCGTGTCTCCTTGCCGGAGACCTCGCTTACACTGCTGTGGACAGGGAAGGTTGGCGATGCGTCGCGTTTCCGGGTCTGGGGTGCTCGTGCCTTTGTCCGCGATACCACCGCGGACAAGCTCTCCGCTCGCGCCATTCCCTGCGTCTTCCTTGGCTTTGTCCCTGACGCGCCTGGCTGGCAGTTTTACGACCCCGCCTCGCGCCGTGTCTTTCCGTCTCAGGACATCACCTTTGACGAGTCCGTCCCCTTTTACCGTGTCTTTCCCTACCGCACTGCCCCTCGCCCCCCCCCCCGCCGCTCTTTCTCGCCCCAGGTCCTCCCCAGGTAGACCCCCTCCCCGCGCCAGGTCCTGCTCCTTCAGGTGTTTCTCAGGTAGACCCTCCCGTGCCTGCGCCTGTTGAGGTCACTGGTGACTCAGGTCCTGCTGGGGGTGGTCCTGTCTTTGGGGGTGCTGGGCCTGGGGGTGCGGAGCTTGGGGGTGCTGAGCCTGGGGGTGCGGAGCTTGGGGGTGCTGAGCCTGGGGGTGCGGAGCCTGCGCGTGAGGACCCAGGAGGTGCTGAGCCGGGGGGTGCGGAGTCTGGGGGCGCTGAGCCTGAGCGTGAGGAGCCTGGAGGTCCTGAGCCTGGGGGTGCTGTGTCTGGAGGTGCTGAGCCCGAGCGTGAGGAGCCTGGGGGTACTGAGTCTGGGGGTGCGACGCCTGAGGGGTTCTGAGTCTGCTGCTGCGCGGTCTCCTTGGAGTAGCCGCCTTCGTCCGCGTGTGCCTCTCACCTCACAGCAGCTGCACGACTGGTACGGTCGCCGTCAGGGTCGCGCTTCTGGAGCTCGGGGCTCTGCCGCTGGAGGTACTTCTGCTGACGTCACTGGAGTTGGGAGTGGTGCTGGTCCCGGAGGTGCTCGTACTGGAGGTGCTGGAGCTGCTGGGGCTGGAGGTGCTGCTGAGCCTGAGGGTGCTACTGCTGGAGACCCTGGGTCTGGGGGTGCTGCTGCTGGAGACACGGAGGCTGGAGACCCTGGGACTGGAGGTGCCGGTTCTGGGGGTGCTGCTGAGGGTACTGGAGCTGCTGAGGGTACTGGAGCTGCTGGAGGTGCTGGAGCTGCTAAGGGTGCTGGAGCTGCTGGAGGTGCTGGAGCTGCTGAGGGTACTGGAGCTGCTGGAGGTACTGGAGCTGCTGAGGGTACTGGAGCTGCTGGAGGTGCTGGAGCTGCTGAGGGTGCTGGAGCTGCTGGAGGTGCTGGAGCTGCTGAGGGTGCTGGAGCTGCTGGTGCTGGTGGCACTGCACAGCTGCGCCTGTTCTTTGCTCCACCGTCTCCGTCGTCTCTGCCACCGCCTGACTCCGTACTTCGCCAGGTTCTTAGCCTCCCGTCGTCTACTGGTCTTCCGTTACAGCCTGGCTCACCTCTGCCTGCTCCTTCTCCTTACGCTGAGCAGACAAAGGGCCTTGCTGAGCGTCGTGAGCCTGCGTCGCGTCCTGTCTCACCTGTCCGTTCTGGTCGTTCCAGTCGTCGTGTTCCTCGTCAGCGTCAGCCGGCTGTCCCCGGCCCTTCCCTTGTAGTCCGTCGTTCTTCCTCTCCTCCGCAGCGTGTTCCTCTGCCGTCTCCTCCTGCGTCTTCTCTGCCTGTCGTTGCGGACCCTGAGTCTGACCGGTTTCGTGCTGAGCACCCTACTGTCACGCGTCTGCTAGCCACTGTTGTCACTGACCCGTCGTTTGAGTCTACTGCTGCGTCTGCCTTTGTCGCTGAGCTGGTTGACTTTGCTGCTGCCTGTCGTCTAGACTACGCTACTAGTCTTGTTGCTGAGTCTGAGTCTGTCTGCCCTCCGTCCGTCGGGGGTGAGTGTGCTCTTGGCACGGACGTCCTTAAGGACAGGCAGGAGGACCTTGAGTGTCTTGCCGCCGCTGCGCCTCATCTCGTGGCCATGCTGTTTGCCCCTGAGGGAGACCCGGATGCTCCAGACATCCCGACCCCGCGCTCTTACGCTGAGGCGATCGCGGGTGAGTACTCCTCTCAGTGGCAGACAACCATGGACGCAGAGATGGCATCCTGGAAGTCCACAGGCACGTACGTCGACGAGGTTCCCCCTCCTGGGGCGAACATCGTCAGTGGCATGTGGATTTTCAGGGTGAAGCGGCCGCCAGGTTCTCCGCCTGTCTTCAAGGCTCGTTACGTTGCTCGAGGTTTCAGTCAGCGAGAGGGAGTTGACTTCTTCCAGACTTTCTCCACCACCCCGAAGATGACCACTCTTCGGGTGCTGCTGCACGTTGCCGCTCAGCGTGACTACGAGCTTCACTCGCTTGACTTCAGCACAGCTTTCTTACAGGGCAGCCTGCACGAGGAGATCTGGCTGCGCCGCCCACCCGGCTTCACTGGGTCGTTCCGTCCTGGTACCCAGTGGAGCCTCCGGCGGCCGGTCTACGGTCTCCGCCAGGCGCCACGTGAGTGGCACGACACACTGAGGACGACACTTGCGGCTCTTGGGTTTGCTCCTTCGACTGCTGACCCGTCGCTGTTTCTGCGCACCGACACTTCGCTGCCGCCGTTCTACATCCTCGTGTACGTTGACGACTTGGTCTTTGCCACTGCTGACACTGAGGCTCTCGCCCTGGTGAAGTCGGAGCTGCAGAAGAGACACACGTGCACAGACCTGGGTGAGCTGCGCAGCTACCTTGGCTTGCAGATCACCCGGGACAGAGCACGCCGCACCATCACACTGACACAGTCACACATGGTGCAGCAGGTCCTTCAGCGCTTCGGCTTCACCTGGTCCTCAGCACAGCACACTCCTCTGGCTACAGGTCACTTGCTCTCAGCTCCACCTTCGGAGGAGTCCATAGAGCCGAGTGGTCCTTACCCAGAGCTAGTGGGCTGCCTCATGTACCTGATGACCTGCACTCGTCCTGACCTTGCGTACCCTCTTGGCCTTCTGGCTCGCTACGTGGCTCCTGGTCGGCACCGAAAGGTGCACATGGATGCTGCTAAGAGGGTACTGCGCTACTTGTGCAGTACATCGGGCATGGGGCTCGTGCTTGGAGGGCGGAGTCCAGTTGTCCTCACTGGGCACTCAGACGCTTCTTGGGTTGACGACCAGGCTACACAGCGGTCGTCACAGGGTTACTCGTTCAGCCTTGGCTCCGGCTCTGTTTCTTGGCAGTCTACACGCTCGTCTTCTGTTCTCAACTCCAGTTGTGAGGCTGAGATCTACGCCACAGCCATGGCTGCACAGGAGTTACGCTGGCTCACCTACCTGCTGACCGACCTGGGAGAGCGGCCTCGTTCTCCTCCAGTTCTGTACGTAGACAACAAGGCCGCCATTGCCTTGTGTCGGGAGCACAGACTGGAGCACAGAACGAAGCACATCGCTCTGCGTTACTTCCTGGCTCGAGAGTTGCAGCAGCGGGGTCAGCTTCGCCTTGCTCACGTGGCCACTCGGGCCAACACTGCTGATATATTCACCAAGGCACTTCCGTCTGGTGACCATCAGCGCTTTTGTACTTTGTTGGGCCTTGTGCCTACGTTTCCACACTTGCTGTAGTCTCTGCTTGTACTGTGATCTATATATATATACCTGCATGCTTGCTCTTGCTAGATAGAGATCACTGTGCTGTTCTTGTTGCTTATATACCTCTGCATGTGGACTGGCCTTGTGGCCGTTTGCTTGTGCTCAGTGTGTGTGGTGACATTGTGATCCACCCTGAGCTGTGTTTTGTTTCTTCTCTTGACTGGTCTTGTGACCATTGCTTGCTCTGGCTATCCCCCATTTCGCCTATGGGGGTGTGTCAAAACATATGCATATTATTATCTAGGCTATATTGGGGCTAGCCTTAGGGGGTACAGAAACATCTCGACACTCTAGTTTTGTACCCCAACCTTGACCTAATGAGATCATTCTTGCCTTAGTCTCGACACTCTTTCCATTCACTTCTACTTCTCCTCTCTTTCATTTCAATTCCCTTCTTTCCAATTCTCTTGTCTCCCTTGTTTCTCCTTATCCTTTCTAGTTATGTGGATTTGAAATAGGCTGTAGGTGATGGTGTGCGAAACCTATTTCGGTTGAGTGGCTTTGGCGAGGACTACTTTTCTCCGCGAGCAATTGAACATTTCGTGCATACCAAACCTGCGATCCTCACCAACAGAAAGCGAAAAGTGGGGGGAAGCAGGGAAGGGGATGGGGGGAAGCAGGGAGGGGGATGGGGGGAAGCAGGGAGGGGGATGGGGGGAAGCAGGGAGGGGGATGGGGGGAAGCAGGGAAGGGGATGGGGGGAAGCAGGGAAGGGGATGGGGGGAAGCAGGGAGGGGGATGGGGGGAAGCAGGGAGGGGGATGGGGGGAAGCAGGGAGGGGGATGGGGGGAAGCAGGGAAGGGGATGGGGGGAAGCAGGGAGGGGGATGGGGGGAAGCAGGGAGGGGGATGGGGGGAAGCAGGGAGGGGGATGGGGGGAAGCAGGGAGGGGGATGGGGGGAAGCAGGGAAGGGGATGGGGGGAAGCAGGGAAGGGGATGGGGGGAAGCAGGGAGGGGGATGGGGGGAAGCAGGGAGGGGGATGGGGGGAAGCAGGGAGGGGGATGGGGGGAAGCAGGGAAGGGGATGGGGGGAAGCAGGGAAGGGGATGGGGGGAAGCAGGGAGGGGGATGGGGGGAAGCAGGGAGGGGGATGGGGGGAAGCAGGGAGGGGGATGGGGGGAAGCAGGTGAGGCAAAGGAGAATATATTGGGGGGTAAACGGAGCTGGTGGGAGTGAGGGAGGTTGGTAATAAAAAAAGGGGTGTAAACAATTAGGGGGAAGTGAGATCGACAGGGAGAGGGAGTGAGGGGAGTACCTGCTCTCACCCTCTGTCTCTCACCCTCTGGGATCCCCCCCTCTGTTCCTCCCCCTCCGTCCTTCCCCTGCCGTCTCTCCCTCTCTGCCCTTCACCCTCTGTCTCTCACTCTCTGCCCCTCCCCCTCTGTTCCTCCCCCTCCGTCCTTCCCCTTCTGTCTCTCCCCGTCTGCCCTTCACCCTCTGTCTATCCACCTGTGTCCTTCCCCCCGTGTCTCTCCCCCCGTGTCTCTCCCCCTCTGTCCTTAGCGAAAAAGGGAGGGAGAGAGGGAAGAGAGAGAGAAAGGCAAGAGAGCGAGAAAGGGAAGAGAGGGAGAGGGAGAGAGAGACAGAGAAATGAAGGTAGAGAGCAAGGTAGGGAGGGACGGAGGGAGAGAGGAAGAGAGGGGAGAGGAAGGGATGGAGGGAGGAAGCTTGGGCGAAATAAAGAGGCGGGGGCGACGAGGAGAAGCGCGCGCGGGCGACGAGGAAAAGCGTGCGCGGGCGACGAGGAGAAGCGCGCGCGGGCGGCGGTTGGGGGTGCGCGCGCGGGCGACGAGGAGAAGCGCGGGACGGTGGGAAGCGCGGGCGACGAAAGAAAGCGAGAGAGACGAGTGGGAGATATCGTGACCCGAGCAAGTGTGGGCGACGAGAAGAATCGCGGGTGTCGCTTTTCCGCCAGACTCACGAGGGTAACGCGCTCTCGTCATACTAAATCACTTGAGTGTGGCAACTCATGCCATTTACGAGCATTGCGCGTGTTGTGCGCTAGCATGGACGTAGCGTCCCTGGCATGCGAAAGAGGTACGGTGAGCGCTTGGCTTGAAGTTGTGTTGCTCAGCGATTGGCCAGACAGCGTGAGTGACTCGTGTTGCAAGGAAAAGGTCGCCTTTACTTGAGCTAGCTTTTATCGCCCTGCCGCGCGTTTCCTAGTACTGTCCCTATTCTAGCAGACTAGTACTACTTGGTCTTCAAGATATGTGAGAGGTGCTCACGGCAATATTGTGGGCGATGGTCGGAGGTGTTGTGCGACTGGGCACGGAAACCAATCAAGAGTGAGGGTCGCAAGAGGTTTTCCCTGAGTCGCGAGTTGTTTTTCGAACCAGAGAGGGTTACCCAGTTTTTTGCGACTTCAAGTTCAAGAATCTTGAACTTGAAAAATACCATGCTGTACTCGGGCTTTAATAGCAGCAATATTATAACTATATAACATGTACTGAACTTCCCTTTTTATATAGATATCCTTCATGGCCTAGGCATTGCCAAGCATAGCCTGCATGTCCTTGGGAACGTCCTCAGGACCCCCAATAGGCATGAGGTTATAGTTGTCCACTAGAATCTGGAGCACATTAGGTGACACAAAGGCTGGCAACGATGGACCAATGCGAATGTTCTTGATGCCCAGGTGAAGAAGTGTGAGGAGGACCTGCGTGTACAAGAAACGAGGCAAGTAAGATTAGCATCACAAAATATCCTCCCCACACAGCAAGCAATGGGTTCAGCAACTGTAAGGCAGAGACCAGGTGACTTACAGCTACAGCCTTCTGCTCGAACCACGAGATGACCAAGGAGAGGGGCAGACTGTTCACATCGGTGTCGAATGCCTCGGCCAACGCAGAAGCGATGCGGATGGCGGAGTATGCATCGTTGCACTGGCCCACGTCCAGCAGGCGAGGGATCTCTGTGCCGGTGATGTTGCCAAACTGCTGCTGCTGGTGGATGAACCGATACTTTCCGCACCCAAGCGTCAACACCACCGTCTCCTGCAAGGCACGATACGTGAGAACAAGCTTAGCCCGGCCCATATCCCACAGTGAGGCTCTTGTTGGAGGAAATGAAACACCGCGAGGCTCACCTGTGGCAGCGACAGCGCCAGGTTCTTGTAGTAGGAGCGCTCGCCCTCCAGCCCATCGCAGCCACCGATGAGGAAGATGTGGTTGATGCGGCCGTCCTTGATGCCCTCCACCACGGTACCCGCGGCCTGCAGCACGGCGTCATGCCCGAACCCCGTCATGGTGCTGCGCATCGGCTCGTCGTGCGTGAAACCCTCCATGGCCAGCGCCTGCTTGATGATGGGGTCAAACCGCCGCTCCTCCACGTGCCGTACCTTCTTGTGCCTGGGGGCGGGGGCAGATGGGGACGAGCGTGCACAGAGACCGATTGGGAACGCTTCCACATGTTAAAATCTTGCGTGAGAACCAGCAGGCTGAGCTCGCGAGCACAGCGTAGATCCTGCTGCAACGGATCAAAAGGAGACCCCGTGACTGATCGAAGTGCGCCCCGACTCACCCCACGGCATTGAGCGCGTAGATGCGGTCGGCGTAGCTGGGTTTAGGCTCCAGCAGGCAGTTGGTTGTCACCACGATGGGTCCGGGGAACATCGCGAACTCCAGCTTCTGCAGCTGCCACGCGCCACCGTAGTTGCCAATCAGGTGCTTGAAGCGCTTCAGTTCGGGGTACCCGTGCGCGGGAAGCAGCTCGCCGTGCGTGTACACGTTGACGCCCGTGCCCTCCGTGGCCTTGAGCAGCTCGTACAGGTCCTTGATGTCGTGTCCCGACACCAGGATGCACTTGCCCGCCACGGCCGACGTGCGCACCACCGACGGCTCGGGCGTGCCGAAGTTGCCCTTGTGGCCGGTGTTGAGGATCTCCATGGCGCGCAGGTTCACCTCGCCGCACTTCAAGCACATCGCCAGGAGCGCGTCCGCCGTCTGCTCGCTCGCGGGCCGCGAGATGTAGTCGAAGGCCTCGTAGATGAAGTCCGCGATCAGCGGGTCGTGCTGTCCAACGGCGAAGGCGTGCGCGGAGTAAGCCGCAGTGCCCTTGACGCCGTACGTGAGCAGCTCCTGCAGGCTGAAGATGTCCTTGTCCCACCCCGCTGCCCTCACCTCCACGCCCACCGCATGGCCCTGCTCCACCAGGTCCGGCAGCGCCAGTGCCGGCTGGAACGTCGCCTCGTGCGACGCCAGCGCTGGGTCCGACAGGTCGCCGCCTGCCTGGGCAAGCTTGGTCCTGTTCGTGCAGCGAAAAGGGGAACGCAAGGCGAGTGGGAGTTTTGGGCTCAATTGGCGAGAAACGGAGGAGCGTAGGGCACGGAGATCGGTTTGAAGGATCGTGATGGCATAACATCAAGACCAGCGTGGGACGAGACGTGCCATGCAAGGGAGGCCTCGAGGAAAACCTTACAAGGGCACGGGTGGGCGGAAGGGTGACGTTACCTGAGGTCGTCGCGGATGCGGACGGCCTCCATGGTGTACTTCTGAATGGCCTCTGCGTCGAAATTGACGTTGGTGAGCGTCGCGAAGATCGCGTCTTGCACGAAGCTGCAGGCAAGGGAGTGACGGCGCAACAAGAAGATATACGGTCGTCAATGTCGGCATTTCATCTGACTGTAAACATGGCTAATGTAAGGAAAAAGCGTGCGCGCACCAGCGGCATGTATGGCTGAAGTAGTGCCAAATTAAAGGATCAGACTTACAAGTCAGTGTCGGCGCCAACCGGTTCCCCCAAGGCGCGAATCCGCACGGCGAAACGCGCCACTCCTGAGCACGAGACAGCGGACGCCACAAGGAAGCAAAGTCAGACACCTCCGCCACACTGAACGACGACTAGAACAAGAAACTCACGTTGTGACCCATACAAAGTGTCTGATGCCTTTCAAGCAGTTTCCTTGTCCATCAGGGTTCTCACCTTTCAATGCATGAATTAGAAGGTCTTGCAGGGCTGCTGTTTCAGGGTCCTTGCCACACACACCAACGGACATGCAACCCTTGCCATCCTGTGACAGATCCAGAACAGAGCACCGTCGTTCAAAGTGATGAGCACATACCCCATCGTCAACTTCGTGATTCACAAGACAATATTCATGGTGCTGTTTTCTTTGTATAGAATTTACACTTCGCGACAGGCAATATCATACCTTGGTTTGCTCGCATTGGAAGCAGAACATGTCGTGCTGGTCGGGCGACGTGCGAGTCTCCATCGCTGGCATAGCTACATTAGCCTTTACTCCGGTTCGGGGCTTCGAGCCGCTGTTGCTTGCTTGAGCTACCACGCGGCGAACACGTCTTCGACCATTTGCAACCGCGCTCTTAACGCTAGAAGACGACGACACCAGATTCCTTGGGTAGAAGTCGCTAGCCCTGCATACTACCTGTTAGGAGCAGACATTTTGTTGGTCAGATCTTTTGCGATCTCAGGTTGAAGAATTGCGATCAAGAATGGAGGGGAACAAGGTTACGTTCACCATTAAAGAGGACGACGCACCTGACCATGGCGATGGGCACATGCCATATTCGTGTGCTGCTATAAACGGCTGAAGAGTAGGCGTAAATGGTAGGGCTTGCAATCACGCGGAGCAGCAAGCGTGAAAGCGAGACTCGAGGAGTGCGATGTGCCGAATGTTGATGTGGAAGAATTTGTAGTTGGAAGTGTATCATCAGCCCGAACCGCCCTATGCTTTGGTTAGGGAGCTGTGCATCTCAGTTCTAGAGAGGTACTTCCAGACATGCTGGATGGTGGGATATTTTGCAGAACGTTTAGGTGCGCTAACGAGTGGTAAATTTGACAGGCTCACCCATTCCACAAGTGCTGCGATGCAAAGTGTCGAATGGTCCCCAGGGTCTGTCAGAGGTCGAGGGAAGGCGGTGATGTCCCTTGCTTGAGCCAAGCGACGACCTGCTGGTGTAGTGTAGATTGGGTTACAGTACAACATCCAGCTCACTGCACCGACATTGGGGACGCGAGTCACGCGACCACTCCACGGATATGATAAATATCCTACGACTTGCGTAGTCACAGTACAGTATCTGTAAACTTTTACTGTAGTCTCCCCGCGTGTTTTTGCCCGGACCGGACCGGACACACTCAACTCCCAAAAATCGAACCGTATTTGCTGTAAAGGCATGATGACACGGTGGATGACACCGCGACGTGTTGGCTTGGTGTCCCGCCCCAGATCAGCGCTGCTGGCGGACAGCGCATGCGTCTCACACGTGACAGCTACTCGTTGGTGAGTTGAGCCAAGACACCGCCTCTTTCTGTGCTGAAGGGCTAAAAACCGATTGCCTAGTTTTGGCCGATCTGAGGGGACAGGCGGGCAAACTCTCCACGGCTGCACGTTCCACAGTTTCTTTCGGAATGCGTCATGAATCAAGGAATGTACTTTGACACTTGCACACAATTTCGCGAATTGCATCCAAGCCCGAACCGAACCTACGAAAAATGACAGTGGATTCGGCACGGTGGGGGCCAACCAAACACCCCCATGGTCGACCCATGCCAGCTTCCACATGGCCTATACTCTCAACCACACCAAACCACAAAATTTACTCTGCCAGACCATCACAACCCATCTGAAAAGCCAGCTTTGTAGCTAACTGAACACATGGAAAAGAAACTGTGAGGAAATTTCCTTTTCCTTACTTCGCGTCCCTGCTTACCGCGTACATAACCGTTCCCGCCATCAGCACCCATCCATGCACGTTACCCGTTCACGACACTCGCCTCGACCACGACTCCCGCCACTGTTCACGACGCGACCCAACCTAACGGTTCGGTTGGTAACCCGCGCTCCGGACCTCCGCCTCGACAATTCTCCAAACCTCGGCGCTAGGCCCGTAGCGCACCTCAATTTCCCACTTTACCGTTACCACTGTAGTTTCGCTATATATTCTTCGCTCATGCCTTCGCTCATTGTACTCTTGCTTCGATAGTGCAATTCTCGCTCGTTCACTCAATTGCACTCGTAACACTTGGTATTCAGAGCCTACGATCTCTTCTCGGACCGCACCCACACCTTCGCTTCCCCACTATCTCAACTTTTTGGGGGGGGTAGACGTCTCTCAGCGAACAAGCACCGCCGCTCGAAGTGCTCTCTCGAAAGCACGCACGGCCACGACCGAGGCTCTCGCTGAGCTAGCCCGACACCCCCGCCATGGCCGAATTTACTCTCGCGACACTGACGCAGGAGCAACTCGACCGTCTCGTGCGCCAAGTCGAGGATTCGGCGCTCGAAATTGCGACGCTCACGGCGGAACGTGACTCCGCGCGTCAGCAATCCACGGTGAATACTCCAGCACCACCACACGCACCTGCAAATGTACCCGCACAATCGGAGGAGCCGATCGTCATTTCATCCGGCACACCAACACAGAACGACAGCGTGGGACAGCGCTCAGGCGCAGCCAGTGATGGCGCCGCTCACTCGATGCCTGGCATGGAAAGGAACAGGGTCGCACCAAGCCCGCGGGAGCCTCGTGAAGCCCGTCGGCACGTGGAATTTGCGGCGACAGCATGGCACCAATGCCACTCAAGCCGCAGCGCCCGCCTTGCTTCGACCCGAGCCAACGTGGAGGTCCGACGGTTCAATCGTGGGTCTTCACGATGAACGTCTTCTTCGACGCGAACTACGTCGAGTCGGACGCAGCGAAGATCAGATACGCCGTCCCGCTGCTGAGGGGCCCCGCCATGGACTGGTGGCGAGTCATCGTGACGTCGCCACGCGCCTACGAGCCACCGTCGCAAGAGGAAGGGCCCACGGGCCCAGCTGTCACCTGGAGTTCATTCTGCGAAACCGCCCAATACAGCACGTGGAATGCGTGGTGCGCAGGGCTTCGTGCGCGCTTCGAGCCGATCGCGGCTTCTATTTCGGCGCGTCAGAAACTGCGTACTTGGCGGCAGCTCGGATCGGTCCAAGACTACACGAGCGGTTTTCTCGCATTATGTGAGCAAGTCGGCTATATGCACGAAGCGGAGCGGGTGGACCGTTACGTCGGAGGGCTGAAGCCGGACATCTCGCACGAAATCATGCTACGCGGACTCTCGAATTTCAACGAGATTCTCGCGCTCGCCGAGAAAATCAACATTTTACGCCGTCCGAGACCGGGGTCCTACTACGGACATCGCCCTCGGGGACCAATCGAGCACGCCACTGTACACGCTGTTGCGACGAACGCAGCTGCCGCGCCGTTTAAGGGGCGCTGCTTCGCTTGCAATAGGCCGGGCCATCGTAAGAGCGAGTGCCCAGAGGAGCTGAGGCGCCGCGGAGCAGAGCAGGGGAGGGAGTTTCTAAGGCAGGGAAACGCTAGCAGTCAGTAGGAATCGGGCCAACTACTGACGAGACTGCCTGCTCGCCCAACCACACCGACCCTCACCGAGTCACAGTACCGATTCACGCTATCGATCGGGCTCGGATGAATAAGGAGGGTACAGCGACGGATTGCCCAGTACTGATTCACGGAAAAATACAGGGAGCAGCAGTGAAGATTTTTATCGACGGAGGCGCAAGTCACAGCTTAGTTAATACCGCGACCGCACGAAAACTACAACTGACACTGAGTCGGTGTTTACCGGAGATAGACGCACGCTTAGTTGACGGCACACCACTGGCCATACGGGAAAAAGTGGAGAGAGTAAAGGTCCGCTGCGGGGGGAACTTCGGTTTTACACAGGAAATGCTTGCGACGACACTGGATGGGCACGACATTTTACTGGGACGTGATTGGTTGCGACGGTATAACCCGCGAATTGACTGGACGACGGGTAGCTGCACTGTGCGAAGTAGCGGTAACTGGGTGTCGCTACCACGCTGGCAGTCGCCCGAGTCTTCAACGGTCCACGTTAACGCCATCACGATGAAACGGGCTGTCGCCGCTGGAGCTGACGTGTACGCAGTGGATATAGCATTGATAGGAGAAGCAGAGCAGCCGAGTGATTTTCAGAAACTGCTGACAGCGGTACCGCCCGAACTGCAGGAGCTATTGAAACGGTACCCGGGGATTTTTCCCGACGACTTACCGGAGGGACTGCCACCTCAGCGAGCACACGACCACCGCATAGAGTTAGAACCCGGGGCACAGCCAACCGTACAGCGACATTTCAGACTGACACAGCCCGAGCTCGATGAGCTGAGGAAGCAGTTAGACTACCTGTTAGAGAAAAAATTCATCCGACCGAGCTCGTCACCGTTTGCTGCATCGATACTGTTCACACCGAAAAAAGACGGAGGGTTTCGCATGTGCATCGATTACAGAGCACTGAACCGGGTAACAGTCAAGTCGCGATACCCCATTCCCCGCGCTGACGAACTGATCGACCAGCTGCGAACAGCACGGGTTTTTTCGAAAATAGATTTACGGGGAGGTTACCATCAGATTCGGGTCGAACCATCAGACTGCGCCAAGACAGCATTTAGGACTAGGTACGGGTCATTCGAGTACACCGTGATGCCATTCGGGTTAACCAACGCAC